CAAGAAAACAGCAATTATGGTGTACCGGGAGTGACTTTAAAATGGTATTTCAGTAGGGAATGCAAGGCTTACAGCCTAGAATTAGTGACTGAAGCTGATTCGGTGTTGGAGTTTCCAGCTTTTCCAGGTTTTTGTTTCCGAGAACTTTTCCTTCTCATTGGCACGGCACAACTTCATTTTGTATCCTAATCCTACTCTAATGAACGAAGGCTGTTGATTGGTTTTGCATTGTGAATGTAGAGTGAACTTAGCTCTACAATATGCAGTTTGAAAGTCCACAAGAGCTCCAAAGGCAAAAGAGCTGTAAATATTTAAATAGGGGGTACGTTTCCTTTTGATTGTCTTCACGATTGTAGTATTGTTTGCTTCAAGAAGTATATCTCGAGAATGTACAATGCAAACGGTATGATTTTCTCGAAGAACATTGGCAACTAGACGAAGAACTCAAATGCAAAATTTGGCTGAAAAGCGAGGAATACTAACAAAGTTACTACGTTGAAAAGTTAGGCTTAAAGACTTTTGGGACACCCTGTATAGATACCTCTACCTCCGTCATTTCGGCTACAGCGACAAAGGCTGAAATAAAGTACAATGTATCAGTGGCGGTGCCAGATTTCCGCCCGGGGAAGGGGGTGCGGCAAAAAAATTAGATGGAAAAGACGCGTATGTCTTTAAAACCATTAGTTAACATGTTTGAAAGAATGCGAAATCAATCATCTAACTTGCAACATGCGATAGTCTATTGAACCTAAGAGGAAGAGGTTCTTGAAAAGAAATATTGAAAGTAACCAGCCCTTTACTCACGCGATTAGAAACGCACTTAGTCAGGATAGTAAACGGTACTAAATTTTGAGTCCTATCTCATTTGGGATTGTATTAGCTAAAAAGTAACACTGATACTTATGCGAGAACTACGTACAACAAAAGTGCCGTGAAGTCAGGATTTTATCATTATAACGAAGTTTTCTTCAAGCTGATAGCAAGCCAAATGTATGTTTATTTCGAATCTTAGCAGTTATAGTAGCAAAAAGTAAGCGGACATAGAGTCCAGCCTGAAAGCCAAGAGTGTTTTTAGTGTGAAGTTCATACCACTGTTCCGTTTGATAACAGAGTATAAATGATGTATAGAGCTGAGCAATGGCCAAAGAGCGAAGTGTAGAACTGAATCGGTAAAACAGGAAACTATGAGTAAGTCACTGAATGAGTTAAAATTGATTCCAGAACCTAATGATGTTGAAAAACATATTACTTTATTGGTCTCATATGGTACTTTGTGTCTACGTTAAAAATACTTAATGGATGGACGGCTATAGTAAGCGCATAATGTTCCATCGTTTAGTGCGCCGCTTTTTCTTATCCGAGGTCAAATATAAGTATGAGCATGGCGGAGCAGAAAGTCATATCAGTTCTTTCCAAGGAAATATTGCCAGTTTATGACACATGCTGTTGTATGACATAGAATGCAAGTTTTTGTAACTGAGGCTCTTTTGGTTGATTTGAATTCTCAATACAGTACCCACACTAATTATTCGACAGAAAACGCAAAAACTGACGATCCGCGTTTTTTTCGTTTTTTCTTCATAACTTCCTTCAAATTGCATAAAATACAAATCCGAAGAAAGCATAATGCTCAGTTCATCAAGATGAATCTTCTGATATACTGCACTATCGTACTATTCTGTTTTCAATCTGCTCGATTTTTGTGTGCAGACGGGTATTCGTAGTGGTGTAACTCAGCGAAGAACACACATGGACGATTCATGTAAACATGGTTCAGTAGTGCTGTCCCCGTAGATTATCAAGTACTAGTGAGTAACGAACAATTCCCTTTCCATAGGAAAAGATAGGCCGTTTAATTTTGAAAAAATCGCTGTCTCTCAAATTTTCGTTACCGTAACCATACAGTAAGATGCTAATTTGCAAAGCAGATGTGTTTTTCGTGATCAGCAGGTTAGATAACCTCTATGCGCAAGTTTTCCAAGGAATTCGGAACCTTTCATTTTTTTCTCGTTCTGGGCTGTGAAGCTCGCCGATGGGTTTTGGCTGAAATATTGATGATCTTGGATTGACCGGAAACTTCGTCCATAGAGGTTTTCGGAGTTGCTGATTACAGAAATAGTGCCCTCTGTACAGCATAAGTTCTTTTGGCAGAGTTATGCTGAGAGGAATGCTGCGATACTACGCAAGTTCCTAAGTTTGTCTGTCCTTTGCACGTGTCTGTTGGACAACTTACCTGCTCCTTTTTGTAATTTGAAATCATTAGGGGCAGTGCTCTTAGAGCATGCTTAAACTAGGCCCTTACCTGTATTGATCGCCGAACTGTGAGCTGACGAACTCATGTCCTCATGAAAATCGTTCGAAATTTTAAGATCGCATATTTTGGCCAAATATCGCCGCGAATGGTTACAGATGACTCTGATTGCAGATATTATGTTTATATACACATGTAAATTGATAATTGATGCCGCATACTGCTGCTTACCCCTTGTGCCAACTCTTACACCTGTAACTCAAAGTTTGCAAAAAATCGATAAGCCGATATCGACCGATGACGAAATGTAATCTATCAGTCCATCTCGGCTCCTAAGGCTGGGTTCATACTGATTCCCATGTTCCGGAACTGTTCCCGCACAGTCCCGCAATGTTCCAGCACTGTGCTGGGAATTGTGCGGGAACTGCAACTGTGCTGCATGCGCTGCCGCCCCGCACGCGTTTTGAACGGCGGGAGTTGGAGATTTTTGACCGTTTTCAACGGTTTTTCCTCCAGATTTCTCTCATTTTGGCCTTATTCCTCTACCCCGCTTCTTATTCTTGATCAGCAGAACTTCGAGCTCGAAGCGGGGTGAAGAATGAGCGCTTTTCGCCATGAATTAGGGAGTAGGAGCAATTCTGAAGTTGCATAAATTGGGACTTTTCTCTTGTTTTCTGATGAGTTTCCTTTTTGGCCACTCTCAGTCCCTTTCCTTGTGATGAGAAAAGGTGTGAAATTAAAGCGAGTTAAAGAAATAACCTTGTTCTGTTCCATATCCGGGCAGATGCTCTTTTTGCGCTTGTCCATTTTCTTCCATTTTTGCCCAGGCCTGCTTCATGTGTTCTAGAAGGCGCTGCCTAGTCTCGCATCTGTATTGAAAGGAACATGGACAGGTCTCTAGAACACATGAAGTAGGCCTGAACAAAAATGGCAGAGAAGATGGACAAGCGCAAGGTTCATCTTCCCGGATGCATGATGAGAATTTCGTTCAATCCTCAACTCTGCTTCAAGTTCACATCACATATTTTCTCATCACAAGGAGAAGCGGGATAGAAGAAAGAAAGGAGAAGCAACTATATGGAAAAAGGAAAGGGGCGGAGAATGCCCAAAAACGAAACGCATCAAAACAAGAGACAAGTCTCAATTCATGCAATTTCAGAATTGCTCCTACTCCCTAATTCATAGCAGATGGCTATGGAAACTACGCAGGGGCTTCCTGGAACAACTGGAATAAGTCTGTGTAAAAATAAAGCGAAGAGAAAATGGACGAGCGCAAGAACACACATTTTGTCGCATACGCAGAACAGAAAAGCGCTCATTCTTCAACCCCGCTTCGAGCTCGAAGTTCTGCTGATCAAGAAAAAGAAGCGGGGTAGAGGAATAAGGCCAAAATGAGAGGAATCTGGAAGAAAAACCGTTGAAAACGGTCAAAATTCTCCAACTCCCGCCGTTCAAAACGCGTGCGGGGCGGCTGCAGCGTATGCAGCACAGTTGCAGTTCCCGCACAATTCCCAGCACAGTGCTGGAACATTGCGGGACTGTGCGGGAACAGTTCCGGAACATGGGAATCAGTATGAACCCAGCCTTAGGAGCCGAGATGGACTGATAGATTACATTTCGTCATCGATCGATATCGGCTTATCGATTTTTTGCAAACTTTGAGTTACAGGTGTAAGAGTTGGCACAAGGGGTAAGCAGCAGTATGCGGCATCAATTATCAATTTACATGTGTATATAAACATAATATCTGCAATCAGAGTCATCTGTAACCATTCGCGGCGATATTTGGCCAAAATATGCGATCTTAAAATTTCGAACGATTTTCATGAGGACATGAGTTCGTCAGCTCACAGTTCGGCGATCAATACAGGTAAGGGCCTAGTTTAAGCATGCTCTAAGAGCACTGCCCCTAATGATTTCAAATTACAAAAAGGAGCAGGTAAGTTGTCCAACAGACACGTGCAAAGGACAGACAAACTTAGGAACTTGCGTAGTATCGCAGCATTCCTCTCAGCATAACTCTGCCAAAAGAACTTATGCTGTACAGAGGGCACTATTTCTGTAATCAGCAACTCCGAAAACCTCTATGGACGAAGTTTCCGGTCAATCCAAGATCATCAATATTTCAGCCAAAACCCATCGGCGAGCTTCACAGCCCAGAACGAGAAAAAAATGAAAGGTTCCGAATTCCTTGGAAAACTTGCGCATAGAGGTTATCTAACCTGCTGATCACGAAAAACACATCTGCTTTGCAAATTAGCATCTTACTGTATGGTTACGGTAACGAAAATTTGAGAGACAGCGATTTTTTCAAAATTAAACGGCCTATCTTTTCCTATGGAAAGGGAATTGTTCGTTACTCACTAGTACTTGATAATCTACGGGGACAGCACTACTGAACCATGTTTACATGAATCGTCCATGTGTGTTCTTCGCTGAGTTACACCACTACGAATACCCGTCTGCACACAAAAATCGAGCAGATTGAAAACAGAATAGTACGATAGTGCAGTATATCAGAAGATTCATCTTGATGAACTGAGCATTATGCTTTCTTCGGATTTGTATTTTATGCAATTTGAAGGAAGTTATGAAGAAAAAACGAAAAAAACGCGGATCGTCAGTTTTTGCGTTTTCTGTCGAATAATTAGTGTGGGTACTGTATATCAAGGTTAATAAAATGCGCATATCATGATAAACAAGAAAAGATTTCGGTAAGGATCACTCGAAATCCAGGTTATCATCAAGGCTAGCACGATTGTTGATCTTGATTTTGGGAGCCTTTGCTGGGGTCAGCATCGGCAGTCAGCTAAAATGGAATGCTAGGAGTTAGCAGACTTATAAAAGAAAAGTTTTAGTACTGACAATCTTGGAATCCATGGAGAGACCGCCGTCGGCGAATTTCTTTGCTGCGGCGGCGAAGTTGGTGGCGAAATTGCCTGAAAATGGATTTTTGTCAAATCCAAAGCCCCATGTCAGACTCTTCTTACTTTCAAGCAGATTGTAGGCCTCAGGCCAGGTCTTAGCGACGTCGTTCTTGACTGCTGTGGGTGCGACTTCAAGACAGCTTATGACAATAAGCTGTCTTGAAGTCGGAGATGACTCTGGTAATTTGGTTCGCGACCTGCGCAAGCGGTGCAGAAACCGCGGCGAATATTCTCTTCCACCATTGAAAGTTCATAAACGCGCTCTTCATTTATGTGGTGATTTTGTTGCCTACTTTGGAAAAGATCCTTGGTGTTTAGGCTGACTTCACTCAGATTATCCATTAGCAAATCCATAACATCGTCAACATTCTTCGCTAATTCCGGTGTTCTACAGGAGAGTGGGAGTTAGGCGCAATATGAAAAATTCTTTTTCTCACCTTTTGACGTATGCGATGATTGCATCTGGATCGTTGGGGATATCTACACGACCATCTCAATGTCATTCACACCGGATACACGCTTATTTTCAGTGAAATCGGAAAGCTGGAATCAAGACATACACTGCAGTCCTTGGAGTGAACGCACTGTCTCAACTAAGCATTTGGAGTTGCCTATGCCAGCGCCGTGCTAGCGTATCGATCGATTAATACGAAGCGCATCCGCGTAGATGCTGGCACGCCGCTAGCACGACGCTGGCATGCGGAAACTGATGCAGCCCAAAATATAGACAAACTTACACCGCGGAAGAGCAGGTTGATCTCTTTGGGCACATAGTCTGAAAAGTGAGTTATGATTGAAATCGCTATTAGTATAATTGCTCCCATACTTACCCTCTGTAATCGTTGAGAATTGAGATAGTAGTCCAGTGCTGCTCGAGTGAATGCAGTCCTAGTGTTGAGAAGTGGCTCCAGAGAGATTTCACGTTCAAGTGGGTCTTGGACGCGATGAGATCTTGGAATCGCAGCTACCAGCGATGAAACCAGAACGAAGCAAAGTATGGAGAACCTCATTGTTACGTTACCTAAAATGCGAGACTACAATTTTTTTCGGAAATTATAAGGAGTAAGACCGTATATAGTTTGAAGGAAATAAAATTGACTGCGCTACAGCTATGGTGGTCCTTTCATATCACTTGTTGCTTATAGGTTTATGCTAAATTATTCGCTCAGTTACATACATAAACAGCATGAGTGAGTTATGCAAAATGGTAAACTGGCAATATTTGGATATTATTGTGATACGGAAATGGCGTCACACTTTCCATGACCGGTGAAAAGATTACTGTTCTTTGCATTAACTAGTTTTTCCTAATAGGCACCAAAAACGTTTGAGCTTTTACCCATTTTTTCTTCAAGGCCTTGTTGTGCGAACGTAGTTGAGACTTCATATGGGGTTGCGTAAACATAAGACAACAAGATATTCCTCTAAACTTGAGCATTTACGAACAAATATGTATTTTTGTATACGTTTTATGTTGTTGTTGTAAGTCATATGTTTTACAATCTAGCATTCCATTCTCACTTGTTTTTTTGTTAACAAATACTTGAAATAATTTTACGAGCCCTATATTTAATCAAGTTTTGTAAAAAGCGACGGGCGAGAAATTTGTAAAGCTGGGAAGTTTTATGAAAGATTTGGCATATCCTCTATATGAGAAAACGTTTCTGGCGTGCCTCGCAAAAGTTCTGGACCGCCACTAAAAAAAATGAACCTGACTAAATTTTGAATGGGATTGTACTATGCTTGCTAAGTTCATCTAATCGCCTACCTTGTCTTTTTTGAAGTAGACTAGTACTTCTAGGCTGATCAAGTTCTGAAAGTTTTTGTTAGATTTCTGCTTGTAATCAGTCAAGGTTTAGATTTTGTGAATTTCTCTAAACTGAATGGTTAAGCCACGATATTTCATACTCGAGCATTTCACCTGGGTTGTGCAACCTTCTGATTCTGGAAAAAATGTGAGCTTGTATTGAAAATCTTTAAAATTCTTGGCCTCATAGATATATTGTAGTCTCACGAGCAGAGAACATCTATGAGTTACTTACCACTCGTATTTTTTGAAATTTCTGAGAAAATGACGCACAGTTGCCCCAGTGACATCATCGTAGCGGGACCATACCTCGCTTCATAGACGAATTCTTAGTCCGGAAAAACATTCGACTCAGCTTGGCGCGGCGCATTTTCTGAAATATTAAGCGCCCGCTTGGATACAGGAGGAGGTCAGATTGTACGAATCGTTTCAGATTTCTGCTTGCCTATTCATTGCAATCACTGCAACGTACCGTAAGCAATTTATGGAATCTAACCTTCTACTGTGTCCAAGCGGGCACTTGTAATATCAAAAGATGCGCCGCGCTGAGCTGTGTCGAACGGTGCCACAAAAATTGCTCTGAAGCGAGATATGGCCACACTACGGTGATGTCACATGAATCAGGCGATTGTGCGTCGTTCAAAAAATACGCGCGGGATTGTACTCCTGTGAGCTTTACTCTTTTCGTGGAATTTCTTTGAGAAGCAGTTCAAATGTGATCACTATTATCAGCATTGTTACGAATCACCTCTTCATCATCTATGACTTAATAATAACGGGCTAAGGGTGTTTACGTCTGTTTGTCTGTCTGTCTGTGTGTACGTCTGTCTGTCACGAAATTCGTAGAGCGACTTCCATCAAAGATCTTGAGCTAAAATTTTGGTCATAGCACCCTATCAGCATGTAGGTAAACTGTGCAAAAGCAAAAGCCGATCCGATTAGTGGAACCTGTGAAAAATGAGCGCCAAACGGGTCCACGCGACTTTTGGTCCGCCAAAATCTGTCGATAGTTGGGCTTTTTGCAAAGTCGTGGATTTGTTCAGCAAGTAAATCCGAAAAACATTGACTTCACCTCAAAAAGTAAGCAGAAAGTCAATCTTTACACAAAATTGGCGCCAAAAAGATGTAAGTGAGCAAATTGTCGATTTGCCAAGATTTTTCTATAAAAATTGAGAGGATTTTTGAATAGATATGTAGCCCAAAGTGGTGTTTATCCTTATGGCGAATATAAAGCCAAAATAAATTCAGTAACCCATTCAAAATCGCATTTGTTTTTCTGCGGGAAAATTTTTTCCCCTAAAATTACCAATCTTACATGGAAAAGCACTAAAAATGAATGGTTGTTTACAATTCATTCGTGATGTTCAGCATAGCGCGGTGAGTTTCAAAGTCATTATTATGCGATCACGAAGAAGGCACGGATAGTAGAGCCAGTGCGAACCTCTGCGAAGCAGAGGTGACGCACTGGTTATGAGAATAACTTGGAGATTTGTTTGGTTAACGTACATCGTATGCGATTAGGCTCAATATCATTATTGGTCACTTTTGACGTGAACCTACTTCAGAAGTGACCAACGCCCAATTTTTCCAAATTTTGGCAGATTTGTTTCTTTACTAAGTTCATCATTTTCAGTTTCCTCATCGCTGCTTTTCAAAATGCCAATCTGAGCACAATGAAGGCGCGGTGGAGTATCAGACTTGGCAAGTACACTTTTGTACTTTTGGTTAGCTTGTGAAATTGCTAGCACGTCTGTTACTAAAGTTTCCGTTTTTTTTGTAAAACCTAGCAGCATTTTAGCGATGGAACGTTGAGGTTGATTCGCCCATTAATCTTCGTTCGGGAAAGAGCACTGCGCGAGTTTGCCGATTTCCGTGGTTTACCAGTTATCGCTGAGAATTGCACAGCTTGTTTCAATCAAGCAACGGAAATACTTAGGATCAAACAGGTACGGAAATCTGAGGTTCAATACCTCTTTGAAAACTTCTTGAAGCTTTGATTTTTAGCTGCTAGCCCAATAGGAACTCATCTTTGATCTGTTCAATTCCTTACGCTCAGCTCTTCGTCCATTGTTATTGGTCAGTCAATTCTACTCGCACCAAAATTCTTTTCATTTTTACTATCTCTTCAGGTTGACTCAGATGCGGTCTCAGATGTATTGGCAATAGAAAATATCATAAAATTCAACAAAGGAAAAGCTAAATAATATTCTACTTAGAAGGTGCCCAACTTATGCGATGTTGTTTGTTAGCTTTTCCTAAATTATGACTTTTGGATCAAAGATCCGTTGTTGCTGTTCTGTGGCGTATCTATCCTGATTCGGCGTTACCGAAATGTTGTTAGATTTACACTGAGTGTGTGTGATATTATCAAATTTCACTTGTTTCGAGCATCTGTTATTGCGCTATTTCAAATAGCTGTCCAGTCCAGTTTTTTGAGTTTCGAGACAATATTTTATAGATAGAAAAATCTAATAAAATTATGGTTATGCATATGTATACATGATGTGCCAAAAGACTTTATTTTTAGATTCGATAGTACACTACGGTGTCATTCTTCTTGAAGTGATGCCAAAATTCCTTCGTGTGAGTCTGGTAGACTCTTTGCGCTGATCCTAAATCTGATCTCACAAGGAGAAAATACTTAGTCGAAAGCACCAATCCAGATGGGGCATATATCATCGCTGACGAGTTGACGTGCTCGGAGCGCTGATTTCAAACGTGGCAAAATCAGCTGCGGAGCGCCTTTGGGCAACGAGTTGTGGTTGTTTTTGTGAGGAAAATTCAAAGTCGAGCGAAGAAAAAAAATTATACGCAGAAGTCTCAAGTTGGTTTCGAATCGGGGGTGATGTCTGTCAGATTACTCTGAGTAAAGAAGAATGTCTGTCTGCTATACCCACACTTAAAACGAGTCTACCTGCGAAATATACATGTTGTAACAATCAATTTTATTCTCTTTACCCATTCAATTTTTGGCTTTTGAAACGGTTATAGCTCCTCACCCAGAGGCGCTCCGCAGATAAGGACGACAGATTTGAAATCAGCGCTCCGAGCAGGTCACGATGACATATTTCTCAACTGGATTGGTGATTTCGACTAACAAGGGAAGTTCGCTGGCTTGAAGTGGCGATCCGAAGGTGATGTATGCCAATGGATAGAGCGTAAAACGCTGTTTTCAAATATACCTTTTATATCTGCGACGCGCTTTTCTGAATGGAGTTATGGCCTTTTTGTATATCTAATGGAAGTATCATCTAGAAAGGATGACGTCCTGTGTATGAACAACATGGTCGGGAAACACTCGAAAACGTTCGGATGAACTCAGATTAGACCTACAATGCTTTCTAGGTGGCTTGCTTAAGCTTGCACGTTTTTATGTAGAAATTATTATGATTTTGTGGCTCAAAATGCGCGAAAATTTGGCAATAGAAAAGCTCATAACTTTTTAGGAAAATGCATTGCAGATATAGAAGACATATCTGGAATCAGCGTTTTAAGCTCTATCCACCTTTCGAATCGCCACTTCGACTAAGCGAACTTCCCTTGTAGGTATCCTCTCCTTGTCAGTAGCTAAATAAGTACTGGATAGCCGGTTGGGGCAAAAATCTCAGAGAGTATGATGCAAGCCCAGCAGCCCAGCCCAGCCCCACGCCACGCACGTTTTGCACAACAAATTTGCCCGCCCCCCTCCCCCTCTTCCCCTCCCCCGGACGGAAATCCTGGGACCTCCACTGGTTTTTACTACCAAAAATCAAGGACAAGCACGGCAAAGTGCACAGTGCGTGCAATGACACATATGATCTTATGAAATGAACCGACTGTAAGAGCATGCAAGGAAAGAGCCGATGAGGAAAATTTAAAACAATTGAGGAGAATTGTAAGCTCTATTACAAAATCAATTAGCATTGCTTATTCCATAGATAGGTTTTTTTTTCTTAACAACAATGATTATTTAAATGTTCAAACAGCTTTACCGTTAGTGGTCTCACCGATCACCAAAAATGGTCATACTACCTGAACTGCTCATACTACCTGAACTGCTCTACAAACATGTACAAAGTCAGTGGGTCTATCATACCGTAGAAGATTCGCAATGACGACATTGTGCTGGAAGTTTCTCTATCGTAATTCTACAGTAATGACATAGAAGAGTGACTTGTTTCGGTTGTGAACTGAGTTGAAACCGCAGAGCGAGGTAGCTGAAGA